CATTTGCAACCCAGTCCGGGAAGTAACATTGCCGAATGAACCCTGCATCAAGTAATTTTTTAACTTCGGCGGCTGCCGCCTGACTTCTTTCTTTGCCATGGTTCTGCTTCTTCTGCCGTACCGGCTTCTTTTTCGGATCCACGGCCAGTTTATGTACCGCCAGATCAGGACTGATGCCTGGCATTTCATGGACTTCGAATGCAAAGATGTCCTTGTATTCTTTCAATAGTATGTGAAAGTCGTCACCCTTAGAGCAGTCGTCCCAACTTTGACTGTTCTGTCAGGACGCGAGTCATCTAGGATCAGGTCCGTATGCTCACCAGTTGGCTGAGGGCGGAATTCATCCGACCGCTCTTCTGCCAATGATTGCTATTTTCTTTCTTTTCTTGCGGCCCCTGTCTGGGATGCCTTTCTCTTCTTGCCGCCTGCTTCTTGAACAGGCGCACTTTCCTTGACATTGTCAAGGTCTATTTTTCCACCACTCGACCCAGTGGCCGTAACGGTGGGCTTGACATCCGAGAGATAGCACTCTCGGGCCATCCTCTGATCTCCCCTTAGGGACCCGACTGTTCCATTATCCCTCTCAAACTTGAGCAACATAAGAGATGGGATTATAACAGCCTTGGAATTATTCAGGGTTGGTCGTCCCAAAATCATGTTGTAGGCCGAGAGTTCTTCTACTACCAGGAACCGGACTACCATGTGTCGTCCTTTCCCTTTTTCACCCAGGCGGATGGGTAAATCCACTCGTCCCACTGGGTGGACGACTCCTCCTCCAAACCCTACTAAAGGGTGGGATGCCGGATGTATGCAATCAGTCTGATATTTTAGTTTCGACAGACATTTGCTACTGATGAGATCTGAGGAGCTTCCGGTATCTATGAGGATTCGTCCCACTCTCTGGTTAGCCACTTTACATTCAATAACGATAGGGTCGTCATGCGGCCCTCTTACCCCTCCTAGATCTTCTTCAGTGATGACAATCTCAGGAAATGAATATTTGGAGGGCCGTTCTTGGTGAACGGAATTTACATCTAGCTGTCTGATATTGTCTTTGTTGCCCCGAATAGTGGGGCCGCCTCCTGAGAAGCCGCCTGCTATGGTGTAGACGACTGCATCATCTGTATCGGAGCTGTCGGCCTGTTGATTCTTTTTGGCCGACTGTTTTTTCGAGGAAGTGTTCCCCGTAGATTTCTTGACATAAGTGTCAAGATCACCTTGCTCAGCCAGGCGGTCCAAATACCGCATGAGACTGATGCATTCATTGGTGTGATGACCAACATCTTCATGATAATCACAGAATTTTTCTTGGTTCCGGTTGTTTGCAGAACCCTTCATGGGGACCGGCTTCTCAATTGAGATCCGTCCCTTGATTTCCTTTAGGATAAGTTTGTTATCCTTGTTAAACGCATACTTTGGGGAGTATGGTTTGAATTCTTTTTTCTTCTTCTGGGACGGCTGTTTAGAGGAATCAGCCGCCCAGACCTCTTTTCTCTTCTCATCTTTGCTTGACGACTGTTTCTGTCGTCCTTCTCTTTTGTCGAACCTTTTCCCGTCCGACTGTTTTGTACTACAAAGATCAGTCGCCTGTATATAGGCTTCCGCTTCAATCAAGGCCTCTTGAAGAGTCGCCACCCTCTTTCGGACCAAATCAAATTTGAATGTCGATCCGTCTTTGAGGCCTCCGAAAAAGTCAGTATAGGCTACTTCATCCGGTAACCCTTGAATCTGAATTCTCATCAGGTTAAACCGCCTGATGTAAGAACGAAGCCCCTCCTTCTCGCCCTGCTGAATTGTTCCTAAATCAAGGGTCGTCTTCTTCGCAGGGATGTTCATGGCGAAGTTGGAGGTGAATAAGTAAGCAAGCGTCCTGAAGTTATTTACACAACCAGTCGGCAGGTTGCCGAACCATTGTTGTGCGATTCCTTTGAGAGTCGCTGGGAAACACTTGCACCAAGTGGGATCATCCAACCCTTGAAGGTACATCAGGTTGGTGAATGCCATCAGATGGTCTTCTGGGTTAGTAGTTCCATCATAGGCGCCTACTAATACATTTTTCACTTTGGCCGGCTGAGCGGCTTCAGTAATTTCCTTGGAGAAGGCCGACGGCTGTTCGCCAAGTTTAAGCAACCGTAGCTGCCAGTCCATAGGTTGGACATTTTTTGGTGCATGCCCACCAAACGGAGGTGGCTGCAAAAAATACTGTTGTTGCGGTACAAACGGTAAGTTTGGTACCGCCTGGTCGCTATGAAAGCCGGACTGACGGGAGGTGCCGCCTGACTGACTCTCATGATACGACTGAGTATGCCTCATCGAGGTATTGCGCAGACTGTCTTGGAAGTTTGAAGTAGAGGCCGACTCTGACAATCGGTCACTCTTCTTCTGCTCTAGCAGTAGCCGAGCGTCTGTGTATGTTTTCTTCGACCCGTCCGCCTGAATATGACGAACAAGTTTCCTATTTCCTGGAGTAGGGAAACGGTATTTTGTGAAATCAAGGGCAGGCGGCTCCCACTTCCTAGATTTAGGATGAGGGGTCGCCTCTCGCCCTTGAACTGGCTTCCTCTTCCGTGAAGTGGAGGGTTTCTTAGCCGACTGCTCCTTGTCCAGAGCAGGCGGCTTCTTGTTGATCAACTCTTGAATTTCTCCCTTGAAGTCCCTCATGAAGGTCATGAGTTCGTTCCTTGTGATGGGAGCAGACTCATCAGTCGGATGCTGCCGAACAGGCGGTGCGCCTGCTGGCTCACTTCCAGTTTGAAGATGTTCCCGTTCCCTCCTTTCGGTATGACGGGTACGTCGGGCCCTTAGGGTCCCGTCTGTGTGAGCTTCAACTTCAAATTCATCCTCAGTATCGTGGTCCGACTGAACTAGAGGGTCGTCCAGGGGACGCCTCTCTTCAGGAGTCGGTACAAACGTGGATGCCATCTCAGAAGTACTCTCCCCACAGACGGCGCCAAAATGTTTCGGGGTTTTCTGATGTCCTGCGGGAGAGTTACAATTCCGAGACTGGAACCGGCCGCCTGTACCTGCAAAACAAACGGATGCTCCGGATGATTGGAGATCCGCCTCCGACGGTCAAGTTAGTACTTGATTAAGGAGTAATTAATGCGGAAATTAAGGTGATTGGGTCTCTCTAGGTGAGAGTGTTTAATGTGTGTAATCTGCGTTTTTTGCGTCATCTCCCTTAATGAGGATTAAGGGAGGTATTTATAACCTCGGGAAACGTGCCAATCTAGGTTTAGGTTAACCTTGGGCTGATTGGGCTTCCCTCGGAAGTTGGGCCTAGGTGGCCGACTTCTCCATTAGGCATGGAGTATGCCACGTGTCGTGACATAATAGGTCCAGGGTGGACGAATAAGCGTGTGCCACGTGGCAAGCCCTAAGAGGTCCAACTGGGGGACACTTGGCAGGACCTGATTGACCCACGTGGCGCATTCCGATTGGTGGGAGCAAAATCCCCTAATCAAAAAGCTTGCCAAGAAAGATATGAAAAAATATCTTAAGTCAGTTGATTATTGAGAAAAAAAAAATGCAACATACATAAGAGAGAATGAATAATAGTTTGCAAAAAAAAAAAAAAAAAAAACAAATCTATTTATAAGTTAAATACATATTGTTAAGATTTTAATTTAATAAACAAAAACAAAACGATAAAAATTTGTTGGTGAAATATATTACGAGTTTTAAAATATCTATTATGCTAATAATAGACCTTCATAATAAATTCATTTTACAAATTAATAACTTAGCCAGATTTAATTTTTTATAATTAAATATAATGTTAATTAAAGAATAGTTATTGAAAATTACCGTGCATGACACGGGATCTAACCTAGTATATATAAAGGTTTTTCCTTCTACTAGATGCAGCATCATAAAATTTACAAGCCCAAAAAACCCATTGAATTAGACAATCTACATGTGTAAATTGGAACAAATTTAGCGAAAATAAAAAAATTTGAAACATTAAAGCCCAAAAATGCAAAACCCCTTATTCAATTAAAACCCTAAACCCCAAAAATACAAAACCCCTAATTCAATTGAAAATGTAATACTTAAACAAATCCCTAAGTATAATTTAAGAAAATTAAAATCTCTAATAAACCCATTACATTGCAAATAAATTACAAAAATTACTTAAAAAATTACACGTTGAATTGTTAGATTTTGGTGAGTTATTGTCTTCAACAACTTCGAATTTAGGGTTCTTAGATTTTTCATTGTGGTTGGAGGAAAAAACAATTGAAGGAAAGAAAATGTGTGTCCCACAAACGACAAAGTGGACGGAATCCGTTAAAGAGTGGTGGTAGACAAAGTTTTGCATTTGTGGGTATTTGTTTTTTGTTTTTTTATAAGTTCGGGTAGGTGTTTACAAAAAGACCTTTTACAAGGTAGTTTTGGACAAATTCCCTTACATTGATGCCACCAAACCACACCAAAGTAACTCCAATCAAGTTCTAACTAAACCAAGTTTATTAATAGACCCATTGAACTCAATCTTAGCTAGTTTCATCATCGACTCCAATCCAAACTCGAGGTAATAAACATGCTAATATCACCTTTTAGTTTTAATGAGTCAAACTTTATTGAAAAATCAATATGCTATATTCCCTTTTTGGCTATGTTTGTATCATGTGATTTTGTCTGAAATTATTTTATCCTATCCTATCTTAACTTATTTTATTTTATTGGAAATTATTTTATTTAATTTTGTCTAAACTTATTTGATTTAAACTTTGTAAACTTTGTCTAAACTTATTTTCCTTTTACTTAATATGAACCTATATCATTTTTATATTATCTGAGCCTATATTACTTATTTTATCTGAATTTATTTTCACTAAAATAAGCTGAAATAAGATGAAACAAATTCTTTACTAAAACGGGTCGACCCAACCACTAAGATACCAATACCATACCCATAAAATATGACCTAATACGGCCTCATGGGCTTTACCAACCCAATAAAAAATGTGAATGGGCAGTTTGGTAATTAACCATGTTCGCCTCTCAGTCTACTTGTAGTATAAAACGCAACATCTTCCCCCTTACAAACCCTAATTTCTGCTACATTTGCCACTCTCTCTACATTTCCCCTCAGTAGCGGCTAGGATTTTTGCTCAAACTCTTAGAAGGTACTTTCTCTCTCCTCTTTTGCTCTTTCAATTCCGAACATTCATCGTCTTTAATCTGTTACTTTTTCGTTTGATCTGATTAATCGAGTTTCTGTAAGATGTTGTCCCTGTTTTTTGTTTTTTTTTTAATCGAATTTGTTGGAATTTTTTTGTTGTTGATTTGTGTAAAATGTGATTGAAATGATTTAGTTTATTCGATTTTTAGGGTTTTACGAATTTGGTTGTACTAAAGGTTGGATTTTTGTACGCTTTTTGTGATTTAAGGCTGCATAGCTTCCTTTCCTGCGAATATTTGTTGTAGGTTTTGTATTTTTCTTATTTCTAATAAAATGTAGGAAAGTTTTGAATTTTATTTGTTTTCTGTATACATATGTGAGTAATCCCAAATATTAATTAAATTTTTGTGGTTAGTATTCAATTTATGGTGATAAATTTGTGTTCTGTGTAACAAACTGTTTGGATTATAACTTAAACATGTAATTTTAATGATGCATTGGTTTGGGATTTATAATCTGTAATTGATATGAAATAGAGGAGCTGATTTGATTTTAGTGTTTTCGGATGCTTAATTATGGGTTACATGATCTGAGTAATTGGTTTTGGTTTTAATGGGTGATTGATTGGTACTTTTGTTAAGCAGAAATGGGTGAGGAGGCTACTAAAGTTGTTGTACCGGAGTCTGTTTTGAAAAAGCAGAAGAGGGAGGAAGAATGGGCTTTGGCCAAGAAGGAGGAGCTAAATGTTCTGAAGAAGAAGAGAGTTCAAGACAGGAAGCTGATCTTCAAGAGGGGCGAGCAGTACGCTAAGGAATATGAAAACCAGGTCCGTGTTTGTTATTTGTGGCCTCTGTTCTTGTTGTTTGGTTGTTAAATTATGTTTTTGATTTGACTTGTTTATTGTTAATCAGGAGAAGGAGTTGATCCGTCTCAGAAGGGAGGCTAAATTGATGGGTGGATTCTACGTCGAGCCTGAGGCTAAGCTCCTATTCATCATCCGTATTAGAGGGTGGGTGATCAACTATTTTTCAATTAGTTAACTATGATTCTTAGTTGATTGTTGGTGGCATTAATGTAAGTTATCATGTTTATACAGTATCAATGCTATGCATCCCAAGACTAGGTCTATTCTGCAGCTTCTCCGATTGAGACAGGTTTGATACACACTACGAGTTTTTAATGTTTGGTATATGTACCTAGCTTTGCTGCTTTCTGCTTATATACATGTTTATATGTTTTTTGCCTGTAAGTTTTGATATAATTTTGTAACCAATGGCTATCTTTTGTCTATTTTCCATTTCTGCAAAGTTAAGCTGATAGAAATGATTTGTGGTAAAAGTTTTTGATTTTGCGTGACAATATTTTCCTTGCGTTGTTAGTCAAGTGTTGATTGATCTTATTTTTAGCTTCTGTAGTTTCCTCTGTGTGTGACTGGCACTTTACTTTACCCTGGCTTCTTATTGTTATATAAAAAGCTTCTTACTTAAAGAATTTTTATTTTTATTTTGTTGCTGTAGTATAATATTCTTTGTCAATGCAGATTTTCAATGGAGTTTTCTTGAAGGTGAACAAGGCAACATTGAACATGTTGCACAGAGTCGAGCCTTTTGTTACCTTCGGGTATGTCTTCTCCTCCATAGTTATTGGCTGTTTGGTTGCCTCCTGGTTTGAGTTTGATTGTTTTCTTACCAAAATCCTGCCTTTGCAGATACCCTAACTTGAAGAGTGTGAGGGAACTGATCTACAAGAGGGGTTTTGGAAAGGTTAACAAGCAGAGAATTGCTTTGACTGACAACTCCATTGTTGAGCAGGTAATTATTTGTCTGTTAATAATTTTTTTTCCAGATATCTAAATGATCTTTCAGGGTGTAGATGGAACACATTTTTGGAAATTCACCTCACTCTTAAGAAATTACATTAGTCATCACTTATTCTTTTATGTTCGATTTCATCTTATCTGGTTAATGGTAATGCCAATTCTTGATGTCTAAAAGCTTAGTGTTGATGATATGATGTTGCATTTTTTGGTCAATAAGACTGTTTAGATTAGTTTGGTCTTTTGATAACTAATATAAATCCAACTGTATTGCAGTACTTTTGTAATGTTAATTTAATTTACTTGCCTGTTTTCTTTTTCTTACAGACCCTTGGGAAGCATGGCATCATCTGTGTGGAGGATCTTATCCATGAGGTCATTACAGTTGGACCTCACTTCAAGGAGGCCAACAACTTCTTATGGCCATTCCAGCTCTCAGCTCCATTGGGTGGACTGAAGAAGAAGAGGAACCACTTTGTTGAAGGTGGAGATGCCGGTAACCGTGAGAACTTCATTAATGAGCTCATCAGGAGAATGAATTAGGGTGTAGTGTATTCTTCCCTTTTTTTGATCTGGTGTTGTTTTAGGGTAAACATATCTTGAATGTTTTTGATAGAGATTCAAAGAATGAATTTTATGTTTTTGGATTTTGTGTTTGCTTATGGTTTAAAAGTTTTGAAGAGTTATTTAAGGTACATTTTAAAGATTAGTATCTGTTTCAATCTCTCTTCATATGAGAATGATAATTATGCTTTTGAGCAGTTTATGTATCTCGGTAGTACATATTTGTGCTGAAATTCTGATCCAAAGCATTTTGGCATTCTATCTTTGGACACAATTATCTTCTTAAGAGCTCATTCTGTAGTTGATTGAAACGTTGAAAGGAATTAGATGTATTGGATTATTTTCCATTAAGTATTGCATCTGAATTAGTTTAGGGAATTTATGGGACTTGTCCTTGAGTACTTTTTCACAAAATTAGTTTGTTTGAAGATGGATATATATTATGTGATGAACTTGGATAGTGTGTGAAGTCGTTGGTCATGATAATTGTACAATACGGTAATTATGAGATGATGAATTCAGAACTTGATAATAGCCGATGGTTAAACAAGCTCGAGTTCAACTTTTGGTGAATTGACCTAAGTTGTACTTCGTATTACCATTATATGCTCAAAATTTACTTGTTCTAATGATATACAAGTATGGACATTGCTATCAACAGTTCAATTGACTCTTATATTGAACATTCAAATTCCCAATTTTTAAGTTCTTAGCAAGAAAATGAGCTATGTAATCTCAATTTTTAGATTAATATAATCTACAAATTTTTCATGAGTTTTTCCAAAATTCACCACATACCACACAAAATTTTCTAATACACCAAATACCACTGAGTTTTTGGTAAATGTCACAACATACCATTAATGACTAACGAACGTTAACACCGTTAGTCGTTAAGGCTAATAATGCCACGTGGTAGCTTGTGATTGGTTCCCTTCTAAATTATTTAATTTTAGCATGAATATTTAATTAATTATCAAATAAAAAAAATAAAAACCAAAAATTAACAAAAAATAATTAAAAGTAACAAAAAATAAAAACCAAAAAATAAGTTAAAATATTTTTTGTAAAATAAAAAACCCAACCCTTCTTCCACCCAGCCAGCCACCAGCCCCCCTGCCGGCGCCAAGCAACCCCACCCCCGCTCGGCAACGCCCAGCCTCTCTCCTCCCCTCATTCCTCCCAACACCAACGCCCCAACGACCTTTCCCGTCCTCTCTCCTTTCTCGCACCTCACCACCACTGACCACCACCGAATTCCCTTTAATTTGGGCAAAAAAACCCCTAAAATTGGGGTAAACTGCAGCGAAATTAGTTTAGATTCAAAAATTATAGCAATTGGCAACACAAATTGTTGGAAATGGAGATTAGATGTGAAATTAGGGTTTATGAATTAGGGGTGGTGTTTGGGGAAAAAGGGAAATCGAAGGGGTTGGGGGAAAAGGGGAAATCAGGGGAAATCGGGGAAGGTGGCCGGAATCGAAAAGGGGAGGGGAAGGGGGTTTTGGGTGTGGTGGCCGGAAATCGAAAAGGGATGGGGAAGGGGGTTTTGGGTGGGGTGGCTAGAATCGAAAAGGGGAGGGAAGGGGTGGGAGGCCGCCGGCGCACCTGTCGGTTCTGGCCTCGGCGGCAAGGGGTTTGGCGGTGAGGTGGCCGTAATGGGCTGGCTGGTGGCAGCAGTTTTTTTTTTTTTTTTTTTTTTTATTTATTTTTGTTACTTTTAATTATTTTTTGTTAATTTTTGTTTTTTTTTTATTTGATAATTAATTAAATATTTATGCTAAAATTAAATAATTTAGAAGGGAACCAATCACAAGCTGCCACGTGGCGTTATTAGCCTTAATGACTAACGGTGTTAACGTCCATTAGTCATTAATGGTATGTTGTGACATTTACCAAAAACTCACTGGTATTTGGTGTTTCGGGGTTTTCTGGTGTCCTGCGGGAGAGTTACAACACCGAGACTGGAACCGGACGCCTGTACCTGCAAAACAACGAAGACTCCTTGTGGTAGGAGCTCCGCCTCCAACGGTCAAGTTAGTACCTGATTAAGGAGTAATAAATGCGGAAATTAAAGTGATTTAGTCTCTCTAGGTGAGAGTGTTTAATGTGTAATCCGTGTGTTGTTTTCGAGTCCCCTCCCTCTTAATGAGGATTAAGAGGGGTATTTATAACCTCAGGAAGCGTGCCACTCTCTAGGTTTAGGGTAAACCTAGGGCTGACTGGGCCTCTAAACAGGATTGGGCCTTGTTGGCCGGTTTTCCCATTTGGCATGGGTGGACACGTGGCGTGTCTCAATTGGTCCGTAGAGGACGTATCTGTGATTGACACGTGACAGGCTCCTATTGGCCTACGTGAAGGAAACGTGGCGGAACCTGGTTGGTCCACTTGTCAGACGGTGATTGGTGGATAAAAATCCCCTAATCATTTGGTGTATTAGAAAATTTTGTGTGGTATATGGTGAATTTTGGAAAAACTCAGTGGTATTTCATGAAAAATCCGTATAATCTAAGTACTACGTATTATTAAATTACGGGGGCTTTTGATTGGGAGTTTTAAAAATATACGAGTAATACTAGTTAAGCAAAGTATTTCATGAGCTTTTTATGCTTGTAAATTGTAAAAACCCATAATGTATAGGAAAAATTGTTCAAATTAATCTCAACTTTGCTCGCTGAAAATAATCCCAACTTTCGTTTATTTTTTTTTATTAATCCCCACTTTATACCCCGTCTGCCCAAAATACTCCCAACCGTTCAACCAACCTGATATTATAAGTTACCAGACACGTGTCGGCTCATGAATTGGTTAAAAAAAAATAAAAATCAAAAGGCAATCATGGCAGGCGGCAACCCTGCCACCCCAGCCTTCCCTCCCCTCGATTCCGTCCACCACATCCTTCCCCTCCCCCGATTCCGGCTAGCACAACCTTCTCCAACCCCGATTCCGTCACTCCTAGGCTTCCCCTCCCTCGAATTTGACCACCACAACTCAATTCCGACCACCCCCTCCCTTTCCCTTCTCGAATCCGGCCACTCCTTCCCTTTCCTTCCTCGATTCCGGCAACTCCCTTCATTCCCTCCTTGAATTCGGCCACACTCACCCTCCCCTACCCGAATCCGGCCACCACTCTCTCCCCCTCCTTGAATCCGGCCACTCCCTCCCATCCCCTCCCCGATTCCGGCTGCCTTTTGCCGTTTAGGGTTTAGGTTGGCTGCCATTTTTTTTAAAAATATTTGACCAATCACATGGTGATACAAAAGTCCAACTCTCAAATGTTAACCTGCTTAGCCGGTTGCAAGACACTTGCGAGTGTTTTGGGCGGACGTGGTATAAGTTGGGATTAATAAAAAATAAACGAAAGTTGGGATTATTTTTAGCGGCCGGAGCAAAATTTGGATTAATCATGACAATTTTTCCTAATGTATATCAGATTATCAGTATATTGTATATAGATAGGTAAGGTACACATGAAATGGAACATGAAATCTCTTGCTCATGGGTTCTCCCAATGCAAAACCTTGTAAGAACATTCATTTTTGTCCTTATACTTCAATTTAGGCTATGTTCTCCTTTGGCAATAATATAACCTCCCTATTTAATTTTGGAAATATTGAAAAGAATAATTACATCTTTGCTCGACCTGCTCAAAACAAGTCACCTTTGCGTATTTTGGGAACGAGCCAACCTTTGCCCTATATTTTCTCAAAACAACCCTTTTTACCTATAATTTGTTTAACAGGTTAATTTTTTAATTTTTATTTTTTTAAAAATCTTTCTCCTCCACCTCACCACCTTCTTTCCACCATAGCTACAACCACCCAACCACGATAACCACCACCCCACCATAACCGCCGCCCTTTTTCCCTCTCTGACGCCCCTACCCTTAGCTCCTTCCTTCTCAACCCATCTCCACCCCTCCCATCGCTAGGGCTGTACATTGGTCCAAGACCGAACCGTTCTGGACTAGACCAAAAATTAAAATTTTAAGAACCGAAGACCGGGCCGATTAAGCTGGGATCGAACCGAAAAACCGGTCCAAAACCCAGACCGGACCACTTTGGGTTGATTTTGTAATTTTTTTTAAAAAAATCTATATTTATTATAATTTTATGAGAAACTAAAAAAATAATAAAGGAAAAACATTATTATATCATCTTTTTAATTATGAATATATAGTACAAAAAAGCTCATATAATTAATTTTTTCTAAGCATATTAAGGATAATCTTACAAATTATTTTAGGTTTTATGCATAATTTTAAGCAAAAAATCGGTTCGGTCCAAGACGGGTTTTTATAGGGTTTTGGACCGGAGTGGACCGAAAAATTAGATTTCTCAACCCGAAGACCGGACCGGTTAATTCGTTCTGGTCCGAGGTCGATCCCGTCAGGTCCGAGTCATTTTTTCGACCGATTTTTGAACACCCTTACCCATCGCCTCTATTTCACTTTCTTTTTTCTTTTTCTATCTCTTACATCTTGTTATGTGGGTGGATTTAAAGGGGCCAGGGTGGGTTTTCGTTGGTGGAGGTAGTTAATCGGTGGTGGGGTGGATTTTTCGAGAGGGTGGTGATGAAATTACAAGGGAATGTGGCTAATCGGTGGTTGGGGTGGGGTTTTCGTGTGGTGGAGGTGAAGTTGTAGTTGACATCAGGTGAAGTTAAGGGGTTGGGTTGGTGGCTTTTTGGGTGAGTTGGGTCATTAAGGCAGCGTGACAAGGGAGGTTTTTACGGGTGGGTTTCAGGGAAAATGAGGGGAGGTTGCGGGTGGGTTTCAGGGTGAATGAAGGTGGTTGAGGTGTAACACCCTACAAATTCCTTTCCTTTAAAATACTTATTTTGCCCTTTTTAAAATACAAAATAGGAAAATCTAAGGCTTACCGCCACCGTGATAACGGCTAAGACATTTATCAAAGACACACAGCGAAGACATTTTCAAAAACCATTCAAAATAAATCAAAACTCCAACCAAACGAAAGTAAAGTCAAACCAAATTCAAACGAAGTCAACTTACAATTTGGTTAATTACATTGTAGGCCCTTTCAAAACCAAACGAATATTTAAAACCAATGCGTTAGTCTCATCAAACAATAATAATAATCCAACAATATATAACAATAATGCATATTCAAAACAAAACTAGAATAGGATTAGCTCTTCACTTAAACCCCAACATGAATATGCTGCATCACCTGAGTACATAAGCATAAACGAATCACACTAACATGCTTGCATCTTAGCATCACACAACTTATCTTGTTGCACCTATTTACAAGAATACAACATATAACCAAACAATAGATAGTTCAATTGCTTATTTGTTTGATTATGCATCGAACGGGTTTTCCACCAAATCCCTACCCCAAATAAATTGAGGTAAACTACACCGGGAGCTAATTGGGTAGACAAAAATGTCACTTATGAGTGACGAACGTCCTGCACATAAAATAAAAGGAAAGTACACCATCCTGTACTCTCAGTAAAAGTTATGATCAAATATAAAGTCACATAACTCCCCCAATATGTTCATACTCAAGGTATATACGTTCCAAGAGTTTTGGTGCGTAATCTCTTTCACTTTACGTTGATGACATATTTTAGACTTGGTGATGACTCTCAATCCACAACACAACCAATCCACATAAATCATTCAAATAACCAAACATTCCAATTTAGTTCTTGAATATTTAGTGATCACATTTAATTTAATGTTGAACCCTTTCTAATTAAACAAGGTGAAAACACCTTAGTGCATAAGGGTGCACTCCAAGGTTGTAACCTTAGTGCATAAGGGTGCACTCCATCCCATCCTAACAAAGGCAGTGCACTCCATCCTGTTCATTATATATATAGCTCCTCGATTGCATCACAACATATTTCATTATTTCCTTACCTTTCGTGCATAAAGCACCAATAATAATTTATGAGCCATATCAAAAATTCCTTTTTATATTCTCAACCAAATTAAACTTTTAGTTTAATTAAACATGCTCTTAATCATGCCAATAATAAAAGTGTGGTTCATAATCAACATGCCAACATAATGAATTCCAATCAACAATTCACCTCAAATAATTCATACTCCACAAATCAATCACCAAAGTCAATCCAATCAACAATTCCAAGATTTCCAACCAATACCTATCATGATAGTACCTTGGAATTAATTAAACAAAGCCTAGCATGCTTCTACACACTTAAATGATTACCGAGTACGCGAACGTACCTCTAATAAGCCCTTTGAGTAGCCGAATACACTACAACAACTCCCGAACCAAGTCTCGATGGTGGCCGGTTGGTGGACGCCGGCTAGTGGTGGAGCGGCGACCGGTAGGCGACGCCGGAGTTCTCGCTGGGCGGCTGCCGGACAATAGGTGGGTTGGTGGCAGCGAACCCACGTGGCTGTGGTGGTTCCTTGACCATTTGACCTTTTGGGTGGTAAAATTTTGGGGATTAGAAGAGTATTTATAATGTAGAGTAGGTTAAGGTAATATTTGGGCTTCATGAAATAGTGATATGGTGAAAGGAAATATTTAGCTCAATTATGAAAATAGGATAAATGGACTTATTATGAAATTGGCTATATTGGAATAAGCTAATTATTAACCCAAAATTAAAACTTGACTACTTTATTTAATTCCGATAATTTTAATAATTTGACCCAACAATATATTTTACAATTGATTAAATAATTTAAAATACATTAAAAATACGGGGTATTACATGAGGGTGGGGGTGGCTGTCGCCGGGGGAAGGGCAGGGGCGACAGGCGCGCGAAGGGGAGGGTCGACAGTGGTAGTGGCGGCATTGGCAGTTGTTTGGGGGGGGGGAAGGGGCAGGGGCGACAGTGGCAACGACTGGGGAAGAAGGAGGAGAGGGAAAAGTTTTTTTAATAAAATTATTATTTTTTAAAAATTGGACCATGAAAAGGTAACACGTGGCAGCCACCTTCTAAAACCGGTAACAAACTTAAAAAATAGGTCAAGGGCTTATTTTAAGAAAATGGGGACAAATGTTGGCTCTTTCCCAGAATACGCAAAGGTTGGCTCGTTTTGAGCAGGTTAAGCAAATGCGGGGTAATTGTTTTTAATTTCTCCTTTAATTTTTTCTTAACTCCCGATATAATAATGTTTAGGCTATGTTCTCCTTGGCAATTTTCTTAATTTTTTTTTAAGTCTTTCCAAAACTTTAATGTAACCTGTTTATACCTATTGTTTGTTTTAGTTTAGCCATGTGTGAGTAGTTCAAATCTAGGGTTTAAGGGAGCCATGAATGCAAAGAAGGGGTCATTTAGGTGATTTGATAATTAATTGTGATTGTTAATTCCTATTGATTATTATCATTGCTTTTCATATAGACTTGGCCAGATTTAGTTGAATATGTTGAGCAATATTAGGTTATGCTCTGATATGTAAAACATGATATTAAAAATTATCTGTTTTTAGAGAACTAGAATAATGCATGGAAACCAATTTAACTTGAGGATATTAACTTTAATTGTAAAGATCCAACCAAATTTGTAAGGGCTATATAAAATGATTTTTTAAATGAGACCTTAGAATTGTTTGAAAGATTAAGGAACTTTGAATTTAAGCTTACAAGTTTGTAAATGCATAGAAATTTCAATTCATTGTACAAAAAGACGTGGGATTTAGGATAAAGGAAACTTAAGGTAAAAATGATCTAACCAAAGGAGTTATGCTCAATACAAACTCCTATGTTTAGCTTAGGATGAACTACACTTGTCATTGACTTCTAGCGCTAACTATGACAAGATGACTTGTACATCCTTATTCCTACTTCCAATAAAGGTAGAGTTCAGACTTGCATTATTGAATATGAGAATACTGAGCACAAGTGATATGCAATGTTAGGACTTGCACTGAGTACCATAGTTTGAGTTTGTTAGGCCTTAATAACTGGGTTTTCAAAGGATTTTGGGTACTTTGAATGTTGAATTAAAGGATTAGACTATACTAAATCAATTCCTTGGGTCATTATTCGAATTGAATCGCTCAACAAGTGATATTGTTCGATCATTACCGGACATAATGTAGGGATGAGACTCATGAGAGGAAGATAAATATTTAAGTGTCTAACAAAATTTTATCATCATCAAATGAATACCACCATTTGGTGGTGGTGGTGGTGGTTATTGTTAATATTCTAGCAAGCCAAACAACAACCTAATGAAATTAAATAAGATCCAGTTATAAGAAAAATCTTACAGCTCCTAAAATTGTATCCACTAAAATCCTTCGAGGACGAGAGTGCTAATAATAATGATAATAAGGTTTGCATGAAGAATTTGATTTCATTGTGATATTTATTTAGTTGCTTTTCATCAAGAATTAAATTTGGAGTTGTAAATTATGGAAAATTAGCTAAATTGGAAAGTATATCTCTAAGTGAGGACTCCATGTTTACTTTCATACCATTGTCTAAGTATTACTTAATTTTTCAATTATTTACTTTATTTGTAAATTCAATTGACTTTTTTCAAACTTGAAAAAAAGATCAAGCCCTTTTTTTTTTTTTTTTTTTTTTTTTTTTTTTTTTTTTTTTTTTTAAAAGCAAGTTAGTTACATTAAGTTAAGGACTTAAAATCAAGTAGTGCCTAGGGAACAACTTCTTGGGTATAATGATTCACCCAATTTGTTCTACTCCAAGCAATACTAGCTTATTAGCAAGAGAATGAGCAACATAGTGGTTGTCGTCCCTTTTAATACGAGACCAAGAAGTGACAAACTTAAAGTGAGTACACATAAAAAAGATATCTCTTAAAACTGTATCAAGCTTAGTAGAATGCGTGGACTGATCCTTTCGAGAGTCGATCAATCAAAATATAAGTTTATAAATGGACTCCAAGATTATTTCGTCTACTTCATTAATATACCTTCTACTACCACTTGCACACCCTAATTCCTAGCAACTACTCCAAGCCCTATTCGCCATCATCTTTTAAGGAAGCATCCATATTGATTTTAGTCACATTTACAGGTGGAGCACACCAATTTTTATTTTTTTTAATTTTTTTTTGGGCTTGAGGGCGCTTTGTGCTTTACAAATAAGTTGTAGATACGAGACATATACTTATCATACTCCTATGTTAGCTTGTGTAAGCATTCCAAAAGTATGGGTTTGGACGTTGTTTTGCTCTAAATTAAACACCTTGCAATTTTGTTTGCTCAAATACTCTAGGTTAGGAACATCCCTCTTTTGTTAGCTTTTGAGTCTAGAGCTCTCCAACTTATTAGTAGATTGCAAAAATGAATTCACCTTGTCCCGCTTTGTCATTGAAACACATTCGTATTACTCCCACTGCTCCTGAACTCATTCACAATAAAAAAAGCATATTCTAGTGTTTCCTCTTCAAACATGTCGAGCTAGTCGAGTATAAATCAAATCTAATCAAACTTACAAGAGCTTCGAGAAGATAAAATTTAAGAAGTAGCATTTGCAAGAAAAATCTAATCACATTGCCATTGCAACACACATTCAATACACATTTGACATCAAGCAATTTTTTTTCGAATAAAGTACGAAAAAAATATAATAATAGAGACTAGACACTCCGACTTATCGAGCTTTATTTTGTTAGGAATATGCAACACAAAGGCAAAAGTGACAATTTAGGATGCATCCAAAATGCAAGAATTGTTCTCCCAAAGTCCATCACACTTAAGTAGTTAGCACTAGTTAGTAACTAGAAATAGGAATGGAATGTCAAATATAAGGGCAAAAAAAGGAAATAAAAATAAATAAAAAAATTAAAAAAAGATAAAATTTATTATTACACAAGTGAGACCGTGGGAAGGAGACCAACAAAGGAAGAGAGAGAAAGTGAAAGAGGAGAGAGAAACAGCGATCGAGGGTTGCAAAACAAAATCTAATTCCCTCTTTCTCCCAAAATCAGCTCCAAAAAAATAAAAAATAAAAAATAAAAAAAAAACCCAAAAAATAAAGAAAAACAAAAAAAAAAAACCCAGAAAAATTCAGAGAGAGAAGAAGCAAATGCACTTACGAGAAGAGAGAGAAAGTAATCTAGCTGGGTATTTCGCAAAAATTTGCTGACAATTCGAAGAAAGTTGAAATTCATCGAATTTGGGTGTTGTTCAGTCACCTAAGAAGCTGCTTGGTTGCCGATAATAAGGTCAGAAATTGATCAAAAAAAGGGTAAATTAATCAGCTTCTGGTAATATAGTTGAATTCCCATTTCCCCTTTTTCTTCAATTAATTGTGTTCTGAAAGTTGGGAATTTGTTTTCTGGGAAAAAGGGGGAAAATTAAAATCAGGGAGGTTAATTTTAATTGATCTTATATGTTGAAGTTAAACTCTGCGATCTCAGTGGTTAAAAGGGGAATTGAGGGGTACCCAGTTGGTGAATTTTGAATTGGAAATGTGGGATTTTGAGCAACGGTATAGTTACGCGCTTTACAGTTTTTACCGTTTGAAGTCGAGGCGTCGTAAGCTTTGTTGCTTATTTTGGTGATTTGAACTTAGGGTTTTGTGATTTCTAGCAGATTTGAATTGTATAAGTGTTGATTTTAGGGTTTGGTTGTTAGTTGTTTGAGTAAGTTAGATCTCTACTTGGGTGGTTGTCATTTTTGAAATTTAGGGTTTTGAATTTGGTTAGTAATTGTGGTTATGTGTTGGCAGTTTTGGGTAATTTGAGTGAGTTTTATTAATTTGTTTAATTGGGTGTTTGTGGTTATGTGTTGGAATGTTGCTGAGATTTGAATTGGGAGGGATTTGGTGTTAGTTGTTGTTGTTGGATTTTTGTTGTATGAGTTTGTAGGCGTGACTGTGAAGAAATAATAATATGCAACCGGAAAAGAGTTCGCGTATGGATATTGGTGAGCTCAAAGCTCATTTGTTCAAGAAGGTTGGCCCGGACAGATTTAAGAGATACTTCTATAGTTTGAACAGGTTTATTAATCAGAAGTTAAGTAAGAGTGACTTTGATAAGTCGTGTCATCGGTTACTTGGGAGGGAAAATCTCTCTTTGCATAATCAGATAATAAGGGCTATTTTGAAGAATGCTTGTAGTGCCAAGACCCCTCCTCCATCAGTTCATGAAGCGGGTCCTGCAAAACCTGCCATAGCAACTGGAAAGAGCTTGCCTATATCAGAGGATGGGCATGGTCCGCCGGCATCTGTGTCCCAGAATCAAAGCTCAGTAGCCCCTGTTTGGTCGAATGGGGTTGTTTTGCCTATGTCTCCTCGAAAAGTGAGGTCTGGAGTCCGTGAAAGGAAATTTAGAGATAGGCCAAGTCCTCTTGGGCCAAATGGGAAGGCAGATTCCGCTTCGCACCTGACAACTGCAACAGATGATAGTGGTGTGAAAGCTGTAGAAAATGGGGATTTGATGGAGATGACTCCTTGCGATTATCAACGGCCTTTGCAGCCACCACGGGGGCTTGCTGAGCAACCAGAGAATGAAGAGAGATTGATGATGAAGAAATCTGTAGATATTCCAGGTGTCATTCGAAGTAAAGACCACAATAATGTACCTGCTGTTGAAGATGGGGAAGAGGTGGAACAAGGCAGCCGGCTTAAGCTCTCCAAAAGTCCTCTACTTGCTCCTCTTGGAATTCCATTTTTCTCACCTAGTGGTGGAGCCCGCAAATCATTACCTGTGACGCACATTGGCGATTATGTTAACTGCTTTGATATTGGCGGACTCTCTGACAGTGAGATGCTAAGGAGGCGAATGGAGCAGATTGCAGCTACACAGGGTCTAGGTGGGGTTACGACAGATTGTGCTAATACCTTAAATAACATGTTGGATGTATATTTGAAGCGATTAATCAGATCTTGTTTAGAGTTAGTTGGTAGTAGATCTACAAGTGACACGTCAATGTATGCTGTTCAGAAGCAGCAAACTCACAGCAAGCTTATGAACGGTCTCTGGCCTAGTAATCATTTACATATGCAAAGTGGTGGTCCTCCTCTAGAAGAACAGAGGGCTCATCATTCTGTTTCTCTGCTTGATTTCAAGGTCGCAATGGAGCTAAACCCTCAACAACTTGGAGAAGATTGGCCTTTGCTGTTGGAGAAGATATCTATGCAGGCATTTGAAGAATAAGATCTATGAAGAACATATGGAATTGCCTTTTATTCCTGGTGGGTTGGTCATTCTGGCTTGAAGAACATGTCTTTTATGACTTGTTATTATTAATGGTGTCAATGTCCATTTAATTACGCCTCTGTCCCAAGCCAGGTCATTCCTACCCATTAGATGCAGCTCGACCTTCGCAAGATCAAATGAAGGTTTTGAGCACGATGTATGTACAGCTCTTTTCACAGAGTTTGTACATGATCGGGGATTATTTAACTGGCCACCAGTGAACGGGTTCTCGAGGGATGCCCAGTGGTGGTTGCTCTGTTGTATGTTTAGCATTCTTGTCGGCTGTCTTCTGCCTGAGTCATGTAATTTACTGCCAAGAGGAGGAAACATGGAAATTTTTTGCAGGGATACTGTTGTTTAGCTTGGTAAAGGTAATATTCACATAATGTAAGAGCTGCAATGTTGCTCTTCATGTGTTTTTAGATTAAAGTGGAATTCCAACATCAATAACATATTAACTTCTTAACAGCTTGTCATTGTAGTTTGACTCTGGATGTTTCCACTGTGAGGACCTGCAAATCTTTGCTTCTGAACATAAATTATGTTATTGTCAATAAAAGAGTTCAGCAATTTCAAAAGATATTGTGTAATGCAAATTTGTAGCCTGATGTTCTTGGACATTCTTTCTGGCGTTCTTAGCTGTATGTCTTGCAAATGTTTGTTGGGACTGATTTCTATCTCCTCTATATTTTAAGTTTTACTCATCTGTTGAGCTTTATTTCAGCACAAGAAAGTAATACGAGGACTAAGGATTTGCATTGTACTGTCTCAGTACTTAGGTCCATGACTGACTTTCCTTACCTTTTTTTTTTTCTTAAATAACTCCATTATTTTTGTACAATTTACTGTCTAAATCCCAATAATGTTGTTCGTGGGTAAGTGACTAAATGGTATGCGAAGAGGCTCCAGATACTTTTTTTGTTGGGGAGGCCTATGCTGCTGGAATTACTGGAAGGGTTAGATTTTGTAGAAAAATGCAGTGTCAGCTAAGTGGTAAGCACTTTGAGTTGCTATCAGTATGTCTTTTACTTTTATCTTTTATTTATTTTTTATTTTTTTTATTTTTTATTTATTATTTTTATTTTTTTAATCTATACATGAAACTATTTGTGAAGGGGTTGGGGGTGGGATTAAAGGTAGCAGTCATTGCGAAATTGTGCAAGCATTTCTTGCACTGTTGCAGAGAAGCATAGCTGCTTATGTGAACCAGTATCCATAATTATTTCCCATCGGCTCCAGTCTGCTTAAGTTCTTTTCAGCTACATTGGAAATTTGATATTGTTATTTCATTAGGCATCCCTCTGAAAAAAGATGACCACAAAAGTTTACTGTACTTTGTTTTCGATAGTGTTCCAATTATTTGATAATAATGATAGACATTAGATATCTTTCAACTGAACTAGGCTCTGTGACTTTGTTTCTCCTGCTTTGTTTCTGTCCATTAATAAAGCATGATGATTAACCCTATCCCCCCTTCCAAAAAAAAAAAGGAAAAGAAAGGAAAAAAAGAATAACCCTTTCCCTTTTCTGTCTCACAATTTCTATATCATTGGTGCTTCATCTGTCTAAGAACTTCTCATCCGTCATTTACAATATTCAATCCATGTCCTGAGCTAAATGCTTTCATATTGGCCTTGAAATTTGTATGGATTGAATACTGAATGACACTTACCTTATTCCTGGATATCAAATATGTTGTTTTGCTGAATAGGTCCCACTTCCCAAGCACAATTCTGTCATTCCTCCTTTCATCTCTTGGGGATTTTTTCCATCGTTTTTATGTATTTATATATTTATATATGTTACTTTTCCTTAACCCCCTTTCCATGCAGGAGCTTCTTCAGAGGCATTGGTATATTATTAGAAAAATTTGTAATTTAATAATTGGCTATCATTTGATACTCTGTTCTTTGTGTTATCTTGGAAACACCTTTATAATTAATGTAGGTTGTCAATATTAGTACCTGAATTATGTATTGCAGCATGTCCAAGATTTGTATGTGACCATAGCATAGTTGTCATGACTTTCTCACCTAGATGACCATTGCTGTTACTGATTTCTTGTGTCCTTCCCCTTCTGAAAATGTGGAGAGGAAGGAAGGGAAGCCTGCCTGATCTGTGCGGAATACTGGAAATTTTTGTGATCTTCGGTGGACATACTTCTTTCTATCTTTTTGAAATAAGTATATATTTCCATCTATTATCTTTTCTGTAGTGGCAGGATTTTGTTCCCTCTTGGTCATGGAGAAGCATGCTGTGGACGTGAGGAAATTGCTTACTTATTGCCCAAAGCAAGGGTTATTATCATTAAATCCTTGGACGACAGAGACTATTGTTGGTTTCAGCATATTTCAGAACGTATTGATGGTCCCAAAGAAGAAGGATGATGTTGAAGCTGGTTCCCTTTACAATTGGGTGGTGCACACAGAAGTGAACAAACTGGCAGATATTGAGACTAAAAAGTTCTAGTTCTATATTGTGAAGCTTGTGTTATTGCATTCAAGTGCTTAATACTTGGCTTTCCATTAATACGAGGATTAGTCTTGCATGCTTTGTAAGTTTGGGGGATAATGGTTATTTAGTTCATAGCATTTATTTAATGAGCAAGCACCCCTTTCTTGTCCTGCTTTTGCTACAGTATCTATGTATATGGATTATGAAAAAAAATAAAATAAGGTAAACAGTATCTAAGGAGTCAACTCTGCATGTGGTTGCTGATAGTTAAATCTCATTGCCTGTTTTTTGTGGAATGAGCTGAGGCATTACAGAAAGTATATCTCATGGAAGATTGTCATGATATCTTCTTGCATCCAATTTAACTGTGATGAACCCAAGTGAGCAACCTTTAGCTGTGTATACAAGGAGGAAACGACCATTAGCAGAACAATTGGCAACAGCAGTACATCAAGGCAGTGGGGGAAAAGCACAATTGGGGGAAGCAGACAAAACTAATTAAAGAAGCACTATGGAGAGTGGTAACAAGGGTGAAGAAAAGCAGCAGCAGGAGCAAAAGAAGACAAAGAGTAATTAAACAAGAATGTACTTTTGAGTAGCTTGATTGTATATATAACAAACGAGTAGCATCAGTAGAGGTTATGTATTTTGAATATTGAGAAACTTGTCTAGAGATTGGCAGCCTAAAGTTGCTTAGAGAGTGATAACCTAAAGTTATCTTTGTTACCCATTTGGCCATTATCAATGAAACAGTGTAACCTTTGGTGCTATTTCATCTTGTTAGTGTTTGTTAGTCAATTCATATCATCTTTTCTTGTACAGGCTGTGAATAGTGATATACTGATAGCTTTGTCTCCTTATAATTGGAGACAGGTCCAGAATATGGCTATGAAAAGACTCAGAGAAGGAGATATTTAGTGAGGTGAGAGAGCAGGGTATTGTACAATAGGATGCAGGTGCAGTCTTCTGACTCTTACTTTAGGACCATGTTCTGCTTTGCTTCTCTTTCAAAAGTTTATAGTAACATACTATGCTCAGAGAGTGCAGTCAAGGGGGGCTTTGCCCTCATTTGAACTAAAAGAGAGAATTTGTGTGACTGTGAGTCTCACTAATAAATTATTGACCATTTTTATTATAATTTTTTATATTACTCTATGAGAAAGGAAGAAGGGGAGGTGTCTTAGTACTCCCTATGTGTTAAGAGCTATCATTTAGGAAGGTTGGAATTCTAGGAGACTAGTCTCTACTCCTGCCTGCAAAATTTTGTTGTGTTTTTGGTGTTACTTGCAGGATTGCACTATCATGCTGGAGATAGTTAAATGGCAGATGCTTTAGTTTCTGCCATTTTATTGAAGAAAACATGGGTGTCAAAAGCATCAATCAAATAACCAATAGAAGAAGCCTGTAAATTGCAGGTAATTGCTGTACCATAGGCATTTCATGTCTGGTAATTATATTTATTTATTATGTGGCCTTCTGTCTAGTATTGGCATATATGGATAATTTAGATCTAGTTCAAGAGAGGCATTCCCGCCCATATTTGGCATATGGTGTATTGGTGTGTGCTGATGTGGTTGCATTTATATAAAGAAGCATCTTTGAAGAATTCAAGGGTATGGCATTTTGGAAATCCACGTCTTCTTGAGAGGCCTTGCACCTTTTGGTGCAGGTTTTCTCTGAGATTGTTTGAGGTGTTTTTGATTTAGGTCATGTTTGTTAAAGTAAAAATCTGTTAGCTTAGCTATTAATTCAAAATTGCTGTAAGGTAATTGATCAGCTATTCAGCTGGTTTGATTAGCCGCTTAATAGCTGTTTGGTAAATTGACCTGATAGCTGGTCAAAAATATATTGTAGATATTTCAATTTTCTGCTAAAAAACAATTCTTTCAGTAAGCTTTACTATTTGAGGTTATTGCAAAAGAGCTTATTGTACTTGAAAAGCTCTTTTTTAAACACCATAAGTTTTTAAAACAGCTAACATCCCTCTTGTTATCAGCTAGAGCTCTCCAATAAGTGTTATTTTCTTTCCTTTTTTTTTTTTTTAAATTTTTTTTTTTCCCAAACACCCCCTTTGAAAAATCCTTCCTAATTGTAAGAATAAGATGTATTGAATTTGAGTCTTGAGTCTTGAGTCTTGGGTTTTAGTTATTTTGGAAGGTGTTCTCTCCAACTTAGTGATAAAATTCTTATTTTTGAATGTGTCAAGCTTCCACTCTCTCTTTTAATAAAAATTCCTTTGTTATAATTCTAGTGCTATTCTTTTTAAGGCCTTGATGCCTCATCTTATATTTATTTTGGGAGGAGATAAATACACATGCCTTTTTGCAGAAATTTGTAATCGAGTGTGTAAAACCCAGTCCATGTTGAATTCCGTTGTATTTGAGCTCTTAATTATTTTGAGGTCAGATTTGTTGGTTTTGGAAGTGGTCTTGGAAGAAAGATTGATATGGAAGAGTGCTTGTGACTGTGTTATGCATATACTCAAGGAAAGGAGGAGACAATTTTGGAGAGTGGAGTCATCTATGTCAATGTGCTACCACTCTTACCAGACTTTTGAATTTTGTTCAACTTCGTGCTAGGTTGTTGGTTTATTTAATGTACAATCTTGACTGATACTTGGCTAAATGGAAGTGAAACTCCTGTGTTGATTAATTCATCTCTGCAGAGGACTCCTATTTTTTTTTTTTTTTTTCCTGGGACTATCATTATTACCAGAAAGTTTAGGGTGTTTATATTTTAGGATGTTGTTTAGACCAGCTATATTTGCCTGGAATTTTTCTCAAAGGTCTAGTAATAAACCTTGAATCCTTGATCTGATCCCACAATTTTCTTCCATCTTTTGCATGTAAGGTCTGAACAAGATAAATCTGTATTCTACATAGGCCATTTGAATACCTTGGTCCAATTATATGCATATAAAAGCTAAGATGAATATTGTGTGTTCTTACTTGCATCTTAATAATTAAATACACAATTACACGTAAACTTTTCCCACTTGGTATAGTGTGATACACATGTACTTTGTTCTAAGTCCATATCCAGTAAATTTTTATATCCTACTTTGTGTTTCTGGTGAAAATAAGTCCAGCTGAAAGCATGCCCTCTTACTTGCAAGGGTTGTAGCTGTTTTCAACTCAGTTGATTCTTAAACTTGTCGACCTATCAGCTTGTGTCTCTGATTTTAGCAGCCTTGTCAAAGCAAGCCAAGTTCATAACATTAACCCTTGCGCTCTTCCTCTCATTCTGTCTCTGTTTGATGACCAGTGCCTGCATATCTGCTCATAATTACGACTGGTACCTGCTTGGCTGCTTCCATGAGTTTAGGACTAACTGGTGATTTCAAATCTTTTTAGATTGACCAAGTAGATTGACAATGTTTGCAACAATTATGCTTCAATTTCAATCAATTGAAGGTTTATAAAGTACTTGGCATAGTGCTTTCTATCCTTTTTTTTTTAGGTGATAGGCAGAGCAAAGGACTGATGGTCTTAAATTCTTTGTGGTTGCAGCAAGCCTGCAATAGCTAATATGAAGTTTCTTTGAGATGCTTTTAGCTCATGGAAGATTCTTTATATGAGTATCATTGCCAGAGGCCCAAAGCAGTAATTCATGTCATCTAAGAACACTTTTTACTGAAAAAAATCATAAGCGGAATGTGATCTGGAGTCATCAACTGTTTCATTGAAATTGTAAAATACTCAACTCTCCTCTGCATTAGAATACTAGTAAAGTTCTGCTTTTGTGATCAGGTGCTCGATATGCTTGTGAGGCATCAAGAAACGGAATTCTCAAGAATTATGCCCAAATGTGGTTACAGTTGCCTTCTTTCCTGCATTGATCCCCAGCTGATGAAGTATTCTACTTGCCCTATTTGTCATCTGCCCTTTTTACATCTTTTGATCCAAAGATTGGATGAAAATGTTTGCAATCCTTCGCTCCTACCGGATTCAAGGTATTCAGCAATGCAAGCAGTCAACATCAACACCGATCTATGTTGAGCAACCAAGATTTAAGTTTGCCAGGAGACTTAGAGCCTAGGCAAGGATGAAGAAAAAATTGAAAATGGTCTATCTCCGATTTAATATGATTGGTTTTAGTGTTTCCAGAATTCAACATAATGCAGGAAGCGTTGTTATTCTGCAGAGAGTAATATATATACATATATACCAAGATGATCCTTGAAGTATTTGAATATCGTAAAGGTACAATTTCTTGTCATAAATTGATTGTGGATATAAATTTACCTGTTAGATTTTTTGTGAAATTTTCTTCACATGATTTGTTGCAATGTTGCTGATATCTTGTACTTCTGAAGTTAACTTGCATATAACATATGCATTTAGTTGGCGTTATACAAGTATTTCTTTACAGTTCCTAATTCCTATCATCATTATAAAGCAAAGAGATTTGTGAACGTGGATTTAGTATCATGATCTGATAACTCCTCAGCACTTTGGTATTTACGATGTGATGATTAAGGTCTTATTAACTGTTGTATTATGATCTTTGAACCTGGATTTAGTACTTATAGTGAGTTTCTGAAACTCTTTTGGTATCTATGATCTGATAATTAAGGTTCCTATCAGCTGTTGTAGTTGTTGCCGCTAAAATGATCAGCCACGTCATTCTTGATTCATTGCAGGCTTGCAACTACTATGACTAGCTGCAACATTCTCAGTGGTATGGTACTGCCTATATTTGTCATTTGTGGCTGCAACAAATGGATATTGCTATGCATGTTGAAATCTCAAGAAGTTGCATATCTTGTTTTGAAATTTAGAATAGCCTGAATTAATAATGAAGTGAAAACAGACCTCCTAAAACAAAACTCACAGAAGCAATACTTGAGTATTTACAGCTGCATCTTAAACACCACTCTTAAGTCTTAATTAATGCAACTCGACATAGATTAAAAAAACAGATATAAGTAAATATCCTGCATATAACATTTACACCAAGGTTAAATACAGGCGCAAAATCTTATATACAAGCTTATAATTATCATAAAAAAAATAAATTAAAAGACCAATAAGCCCTTTTAGATAAATGAAATTTACGCACAATTCCTTTACAAATGAAACCCGAATAATATATGTGGTCAATTATGTTGGAATGAAGACATATACTCACAATTTTGACTTTTGAGAATGACATAGTTACTAATATCAGGGTGTCTATTATACACTTGGATGTACCATGCACATAGCATATCCACACTTGTTTAATGAGCTCTATTGGAGCTCTCCAAAATAAGCAAATGCGTGTGTATTGAACACTCAAGGGTAAAACGAGTGTTTGTCCACCAATGTCATCCTACCCATCCATCAATCTAAACTGATTCTCTCCTATAATCTTGTGTTAGTTTGATCGCCTTAGTTGTTCTAGTTGATTCAATTACTTGTCAACCATGATGCAACCTACACCACCAATGGGCTCCTTGAGGCAGGGCGATAGAGGACAAGGTCAAGGACGAGGATGCTACATTTGGTGCCTGGTTGGGGCATGGCCATGAGGGTGGCTGCAACAGTAAAACCACCCCATGCTACCATAACGGGGCACATACAGTCTTTTCCACATGGGCACCCGTGGTTGGTTTAATATTACCATCAAGTCCATGACCAAATTATATTTCATTAAAAAAAATAAAAAAATGCTGAAAAGTTTGGTTATTCTTTTAAGTATCTAACCTTAATTTACAAAATAAAAATGGTTAGCATACATTGAGTTTTGGAATGAATGGCACTAAAATAATAAAATAAATAAAATTAGCTGCTTAAAAGAACAACAAGCCCGTCTAGCTCAGTTGGTAGAGCGCAAGGCTCTTAACCTTGTGGTCGTGGGTTCGAGCCCCACGGTGGGCGTTTGTGTTAATTTTTTTTTTCCATTTAATTTTATTTTATTTTTGATATACGAGAAACAGTATAAACAAAAGAACATGACAACATTCTAGTATACAGAGTACTTTGTATCAAACTATTAGAGGAAGATATACAAACATTTTCAAACTATCAAAGAGGAAGATATAGACACGGTAAATCATAAAATTTATGAGTTACAACTCTCGTAAATCTTTTGATTCCTTTCTCCAAAGGGCCAGGGTTATTTGTTTGTAGTACAGGGCCTTATCGGCTTAATCCATACTTGTACCTACAATGTTTGGTAGTAGTAGGGAAGAGATGGGGTTTTTGTGACTTGTTCCATTTAAGCCTAATTAAACCCTTGAAACGACTCCCTTCACATAAAATGTCGTTGAGTAGTAAATAAGAAAGCTATCAAATATTCTACGAGATCTTGAAAATAAATATCTTATATTTTTTTGATATTATCTCATTAACAAAATTTCGGTTTCAACACACATTTTTTAAGTGGCACGCTATTGCTAAATATATTACTTGTAGCAATTTGACTTCATGAAAATTACATCCTTATTCAACATTAGTGTGAATAAATAATCAACTTTTCATTAATAACAATACAAATATTTTAGATTATGTTATGGAGGGTCGGCCAAGCGAGCCAACCCTTTAGGTGTTTCCACAAATTATGTCGGCCATATGTCTTGATAGCCATACAGCACTCGCCTTATCTCAGGGCGAGCATGGCATATTTAGCCAACCGACCCTTTTAAATTTTGTATGTTGTCAGCTGGTTTTTATTTATAGTAAGATTTGGCAACTCCATTGTTTCTTTTGTCCGATGTGGGAGTTTTATAAAGTTGTTCACTAAACTCAATCTAACCACTTAGTGCTGTATAGTTTGACTGACAAACACTTTCTATTTGTAACATTGCTTCATGAGACCATTTTGCTATCTAATGCATCAATATTTAGCTCGATAGGCTTAAGCTTCTTCTGATTAGAAGTAATCGCGAAGAAAATGAAGATATATATACATATACCAAGGACCATTATGATGTTCATCAACAGAAATATGAACAAATAGTAGGGACGAGCAAGTAGAGAAGAAATTTGGGGAGGGGGTGTATATTTACTTGAGAATCTGATGATTAATAAGGAAGCGAAATCAACCAATTCCCATAATGGAGCCTCTGAAGAGGGCTAGGATTATTAGTTGAAGGATTTAAGAGAATCTATGTACAAAAGAGTGGAAAAAGTGGCGAACTATGAAAAAAAAAAAATATAATCAAATTTCTGTTGAAGAAATGAGGCAGACCAAATTTGATCTGTACAAACTGAGAAAACGACGAAAGAACATAACAGCGGAGTTCAGGGAGGCAGGGACGCTGGAGGCGGAGGCGCTACAGAATTCTTGCAGACAGGGCACCAATTCTTGAGTTTCAGCCATTGATTTATACACTCAAAGTGGTATCTGTGATTACAACTGAGTCTTCCCAGTTCTTCTGTGTCTGCATATTCTTCCTGCACCGAGCAATTCATTCAAATATACAGTCAGCACAAATTTATAGTTTTGAGAATTTGGTTATATAGTGGAAAAACTAAATTTAAAAAAAAAAAAAAGTATAATTATGGGAAATATGCAGAAAAGCAAAACTGCAGAAATGACTAGTTTTCATTAGCTTGATTGTTTGAGTAAAACTGTTGAAAAGAAAAAGGGTGTCGCGTTCTGCACTACCTTATTCTATACACAATTTCAGCTCATAAATTAATATATTCCCACTATATAATACCCCTCTAAAGAGACTCTATTTTAGGCCATGGTAGTAGCGAACGGTTAGACAAATGCAGTCTTACCCACACAACAGTGAACTGCCTCTTTCAGCCTTATTCATTACTATAGCAAGCAGTTTGTTGGCACTTGATCCAAAATGCAACTAAAATTGCAATCATTTCATCTGAAAACTTATCAAGTTGTTACTAGGCTTATCTAACTTCATTTCTAGAAGTGAATTGAACCAAGTAGCCCTTATTACCCTATAGAATCTTATAACTTAATTTTAAAGGCAAAAAACAGAAGCAAAATCCCTCAGTATTCAACATTCCGTAGCAAGAAAAGAAATTAAAAAGAGTTTGTTGATCCATCTAATTTTAACATTGTTCGCTCCACCTTTAAACATAAGTTCAAATAAAGGTTGCCAAAGTACCAGGTTCTGTTGACAAATACAACTAAGATCTAAAAAGGATCAATATGTTCATGTTCTTTCATTAAAGAGCCAGAATCTTCAGAATAGTTCATAAAGAGTTGTCAACTAAAAGAATGAAGCCTTGGTCCATCGTAATTCATATACAATAATTCTCCACATTGACGCTCAACTTCTTTAAGGATCACACTCATCACAGAGACCTCAATCCCCACTCTGAAGCAAAATATTGAGGGCAATCTATCTAAATTGTGAGATCAACTTCCTGACAGGAAAAATCCTTAAAGACACCCTATCACACTGTTCTTTTGTCCAGTGGTACAACAAACGTGAACAAACAGTCTCTCCACAGTCTAGCAGCCCCATTTGACCATCAAGTTAGTCTTTCTGCAGCTTATTTGCAGTTCCTAGAATCTTTAAACAAGGAAAACCTGCAGCTAGCATTCCTGTCCATGTAGGGTACGGAATCGACACAAGGAGAATGTATTTAAAAGAGAAGACACTCATAATTTATGGGGGTATGGTAATCAAGAGAGACACTAGTGGTAGTGGCCGAGTTGAACGAATATGCAGATAGATCCCAAAAGCTCCAGAGTCCTTTCTGGCTAAATGTATGCCGAATTCTGTTGGTATTAGGTGGCAAAGAAAATTGGTTTCGGCATATAATTCTTAGTATAGAATTTCCTTCAATTAGTGAGAGTTGAAAAGCCAAAGCAAGCATAAATGACTAGATAAAATCCTCTATCGTACCAATTCTCTCGTCTTTCAGTTCTTATCATATCAGAATGGATTAGAGTGGTGTTGGCCATCATTTAGCAAGGCTGCTTTCTTTTGGTGTTTAGGAATGATAGGAAACTCTCTTCACTTCAGCAATACAGCAGAGGGAAATAGATCAAAGGAACTGATTACACAAAAACTACTTACAATGTACCTAATTAAAGTAGTTATCCAAAAGGCCCAATAATTAAGCTGATCACAGGTAAATAGACAAGTAAAAAGGGAAATGCAAAAAAGATCAGGAGTAGAAACCTGGCATATGCTGCATTTAACATCATTCTCATCCTCTCTACATTCTGATATACCCTGGTAGATGCTTCTTTTAAGGCAATTAGCCAAAACGTTTTCTGGCACTGCTGTACTCACAGTTCCCATCCTCTCTTCTAAGGCTAATAGTTCCTGTTCAAATAGCAAAAATATAGTGCTTAGTTCTTATCCAAAATCACAAATGAGGAAAAACCTAGTTTCATTGACATTAGAGGTGATGTCAGATTATCTGCGGCTGGCAAAATATATCCATGTCTTTATCCAAGGAGTCATTGAATTTGCAGTAATGCAATGATGCAAATCAAAGATATACCTCATATGACATATTATCAATATCCAGCCTCATGTCCCTATGCTGATCATGGAATGAAAGTCCCCCTAAGAAAAGATTAGACTCCAGAACAAGCAATTGCTGCAAAATCAGGTGAAAGCAGTAAACAAAAACAGTCCACTATAAAAATAGAAAATTTTGAAGAATCTTAAAGTAGCTTATGATAATTACCTCATATGTTGGCTCTTCTTCTTGTTCTATTCTCTCTAGTGCTAGTAACATCTGCATGGTACCAGAAAGCGATATCTTAAACAACCAATTTCTAAATAACAAAAGAGTAGACACATGAGCATACTATCAGAGTATCAGCACAATACCTCTGCAATCCCATCTAAGTCGTACTGTCTTAAAGCATCACGATTCATGAAAGAACGAGCAATGCCAGCACCATAGGGGTCACTAGACCTATTAGGAAGCATGTGTTCACTGCCGCTACCTTGTCTGACTAGAGGATTTGAATAACTAGCTGAAGTTTGGACAGAGAACTGATTTTCCGAACTAAAATCAGTTTCATCAGTTGTTAAGTCAGGTTGAGGAGAAGATGGGCTCATTCGAGGTGACCCAACCAATGGCAATCTGTCCCGACTTTCTTGATTTGAAAGCCTTGTTCTAGCAGATGACCTCCGAGTCCTAACTGGGGCAGAGTCGTTATTCCCAGGGCTCGAGCTTCTGGTGCGTCTTGAATCAGAGATTGAGATTCCACGATTGGAATAATCATTTCTTTGATCATCCAGTATAGTTCCATTCATCTTCTTTCCTCTCACAGGTAAACTACTCTCAGCTTCACCAACCCTCTTCCTACCACCAGTCTCCCCCTTCTTACTGACATTTGACTGAGGAGAGAGAGAAGAACCTGATGGTACGACGTCAGAGATTGAGTTGCATTTTAAATTCCTTAAATTATACCTGCTTGTACTAGCCCCACCATTTCTTGCCCCTTGGTTGGCCTGTTTAAAACCAAATGAGGTAGATGAACTTGAAGCAGAATCTTGGCGCCCCAATCCAAACCTCGGAGCACTTTTCTTTGCAAATTTGCTGGTGGATCCTGAGCTAGAACTCCCAGCTTCAGAAGATGTAGCTTCAGGATGTTCATGATCTTCTGGCTCAGGATGAACTCTCATCTGGGTTTTTCCAGAAATTTTCTCGGATTCCTCTTGTAGACTGCATGTTTCTGAATCAGTGTCAAGGTGGGAAGACAATTTCTTTTTTGAGCCTGAGATTGACTTTTTTGAAGTATTAGGAGAAGCAGGAGTTCTGGATGAAGTTCCAATGCTTTCCTTTCCTAAAGCAGATGAACGGAAAGGAGTTTTTGGAGTTTTGACTTTACTGGGAGAGCCAGTCTGTGCATCCTTCATCGAGTTCAGCCTGCTACCACATCCAATTCGACTGCAAACCTGAACATTTTTATCTCTATTGTTCTGAGCTGTCTCTCTCAAAACAAGGCTAGGCCCTCTTCTAGAGACAGCGAGTCCCCCAGAAGATCTTCTATTGGAATATTCATCCATGAGTAGACTTACAAAGTTTCAGTTCTGCAGGATAGTATGAAAATAGTTTCAGGCATTTTACTTCTCAACTAAGAACATATAGGAAAATTTTTAACATACTATCTCATCAACTATGAATAAGCTCTCAGTACAATTAGTATCACAAGTAAAGATTTATAGCAGGGTTTTGAAACCCAAAAAACCGCATAGCAAGAATGGAATTAAAACAATTCTGGCATTAAACAGAGAAAAGTTATGTTCTCACATCACATAGATAAACCTTGTCCACTTATAGTAGCAAATCAGCAATTATTAACCATGGAAAACCATTCGTACAACTACAATCAAAATGAAATTCATAACAAGTTTTACATAAAAAACAGTATTGCTACTGTCTCGTAAACAATATCAAACATGAGGAGCAGAAAATTCTCCTATCGACAGTATAGTCCAACTGCCAAAATCAAGGCATGTAGCTTTCAACCAAAATTTTCAGAAGAAAGGTGTACAATTAGCAATTGAGGAAAAAAACTCCTTTCATAGAACATAACAAGAAGGGAACACCCAAGGGCACAAGGGCCATCATTTGTACCAAAAAATACCCTTAAACTTTCTTTCAACACAAATTCTTAACTTGGAATCAAAGAAACTAAAACCAGAAGAAAAAAAAAAGAGCTGTTTATCTTCATGAAGAAAAAAAAAAAAAAAAAAACCTTGCAACCAAAGCAGCCTCAAATATGTCAGTTTCATGGACTTGCAAGTTGCAACTAGCTCTTCCATTCACCGACTAATCACAAAGAAATTTCAATAATAGAATTAGATCATAAAAACAGTTGAAATCCCAAGGTTACAAATTTGGCGATAATCTTGATTTATGAACTCAATAGAAGTTCAGCAGGTTTCAGGGTAATACATCAATCTAATTCAACGGTTGATAAATTCAGAAAAAGTAGATAGTCGCCACCAAAAGCCAGCCAATCACAGATTACAGATTTCACCGGGACCATCAGAAAGAAAAGGCACCAAGTGAGCCACTCCACTCCACTTCAACATTGCTCAATCTTACTTATGTGTCATTCAGAAAACAAACTCAGTCTCTGGTTCTCTACTTTGGTAATGAAAGAAGTCAACTCGGTGACTATAAGCCTTCACAAGAAACACCACATATTAATCAGCACAAAATTTATTAGTAATAGTCAAATGACGGGCCAAACAATTCCTCCTCCTGTCAAAACTATCCAAAATGATTTGATAATCATTGAAAATCGTCAACAAATTCAAATTTTCACCACTTCAAATGGTTCAACACATTTCTCTTCTCATATGCCCAGTACTCAACCAGACGGAGGAGTATTAACAACAACATCAGCATAAGAAATACTCCAATATTTCCAAAGAAAATCCTTGGCCGAAAAAGGACTCCTTCCTAAAGTGGCTCTTAAGCTCCTTACCTTTACAACAACAACGCGGCTCTAAAGGTTGAGGCCATATTTTGATCATGGAAATTCAAGGTATGTGCCCCTAACTATTACTTCCACCAACAACAAAAGCCAAGTGCACAAGGGTATCACCAACAATCACCTCGAATTTGTGCACCAATCTCAACAAGCTATTCCCATATCCTCAAAACTTCAAAAGCTTATTAATTCATACTAATTTTGCAAGGCATAACCAACAGCAAATCATATCATACTTTCTTCTTTTGTATTACCCAAAAAACTCCTACACAAAGGAGAATCATTTGGTAGCTACCTAAAAATTTCTAAAAATAGATAATAGACCATCAAAAACCCTTTCATAACATAAAGTCACACCAAACAAAAATAGAAACCTCCCACCAAAAGGTTTTCTGACATGTAACAAGAAAAAAGCATCCATGTCATAAACTAAACACAATCAAACAACATAAACTACAACTACAAATTCCAATCAAAAGACAAGAATAAATAACAAAAGATTAATTAAGCACCTGTAATCAATAATCAATAACAAAATCACCAAAGAAAAACACAAAATATATTCTGACAAAAAAGAAGCTAAAAATTTCATTGACAATTTCTGATCATCCTAATCTAAAAATTAATTAAAGACAAAAACTAAGATTAGAAGAAAGGAGAGAAAAAAAACCCACATGGTCAGCAACTCATGAATTCCACCCAAAAAAGAAGGCGGCCTTGTTTCTCTCTCTAACTATCTCCCTCTTTCTCTCTCTAAAACTTGTTCACCACCTTTATTGAAGGACAGGTAAAGAAGCTTTCTTTGAACAATTCTTTAGACAATCTCTTTTATCATCAATTTATATATAATTTCTATTTATGACCAAGATCACTTTTATCCGCAACTTCAGGGGCTTATTAAGTTATTAAGCTTCACAACCTTAAATATTTTTCTTCAACACAAACAAATAAACATTAAAACCACAAAAAAGGGAAAATTATTGATAATTAAACAAAACCCATATCACCAAAGTCACTAGATAATATACTTTAGGTGTACAGTAATACACGGAGCACAATAATAATAATGTAGACTGGATTCGATTTCCACATTCAACACTACTTAAAAGCCGCACCAATTAAACTAGTTGACATTAACAACTTAAAAAGATTTGATTTTTATGACTGCCCATATTTATAATAAAATAAAAAAGTTTGAGATAATGAAAATACATGGGAAATAAAGGCCCACCTCATAAAAATAGCTGGATAACAAGAAAAGAGAATAATTAAAATGAAACTTTGTAATAATTGAGAAGAATTTCTGGGTATTTTGGATAATAATTTTTTAAGTAATTGTGTTGTATTTTGTTTGTATACCATTAAACAAGAAGGGAAGAAGGTAGATAGCAACAAAAGCGTGTAAAATAGAGAGACGCACAAAGAAAGAGGAGAGAGAGACGTGTGATGTAAGATCCAAGGCCTAACAATTTAATAAAAGGTTTCTTTCAATTACCAAAAAACAATACTGTATCAAGTTTGGTGAAATCACAGCCGTTGGATGTAGTTGGACGTCAATTATCAACGGCTTTTTGATGACTTACGTCATTTTTAAGTACCAAAGAAAGATAAATTCATATTCTTGTGGTATTACGCCATAACCATATAATATGTTGTTATTTGTGGACTCAAATAGTACGAAGTAAATTTATTATTTTTATTGCGGGAAATAATGTAAATCAAATTGAAAAAAAAAATTCGGAAGCATTCGATGGTATAAAAGAAATCATCATATTATTATCAATGAGAATGGAGAGTACAGATTGTTATGAAATATGTGCTACGAAAAATAATTTGGGAATTCACCCTTAAACACAAATAGCAAAATACAATTAAAAAAAAGTGTTAGGAAATGATTTTCTACCTCAAATAATGCGGAATATTGTTTTATTAAATTCTAATTTTCCTCCTTAATGAATCATTATACTTTTTTAGTACGCATAGTACTCTTTTATAGGCTAATTTAGCAATCATGGTTAAGTAGGAAAGCATAGAATTGAAGATAGAAAACAAATAAATTAAAGATACACCATATAAAATATGTTTCTCCAAAACGAATTTAACTTCATTGATTTTGGTAAGCTTAGTTTATTTCCTAATAGTGATTTATAAAAGATGGTGACTCATGATAGGTAAAAGTTTAATCTCTTAAGTTATTTTTCTTATTTTTTTTTATTTTTTTTTATTTTAAGTTGTCGAAGATGTTGTATGGTAATTCCTAAAGAATTGTTAATACAATACTACTTATGTAAATATCGTTATAAAATTCTCAACAAAATTTAAACGAGGTTTGTCTCAAAATAGGTACAGTTCATTCAAGATTTACAGAGTATCGATTGAGCTACCTAAAACCAAAAGCCACATAAATTATAAAGAATAATTATAAATATATAATAAATTAATAATAAATTTAATATTGTTCAACACATTTAAGAAATTATAAATATTTGGACCAACCCCACAATGACAGCTAACCCAAAGTTTATTGTCCTCCATTCCTCCAAACTTCTCCCACTTTATCTTAAGGTTGTTATCTTTAGTTGATTAATGAATTTAATATACAAGTTCAATTAGTTAAAATAAAGGAAAAATTGGGGATTGTTAAGTGTTTGTTGGGTGACAAATTTTAAAAAATTGGGATTCTTTAGATTGTGACATTACATAATAGTTGTGTTGTGTGTATTGCACTTTCAAGTTTAAACTAGTACTAGTATTAATAAAAAGATTCTCTCTGAAATTGAGGGAGTTTTGGCCAAATGGCATGAATAGTGTGGAGATTTTCTGGTACTTTTACTTAACAAAGTTTGGTATAAAACTATAAATGAATTAAATTAGTGGGATTGTGTTCATCACTCATTTTGGATTATTGGAGTTTTTTAGTTGTAGTTAGGCAATTTGTGGTGGTGATACAATAGTGAGGGTATTGTAGTTGTTGGACGTGGTATGTGGTTTTGTGTTGGTGGGTAGTCGTGACTAGCTCCAATTCCACGACTAACTTCAACCCGTCCTGTCTTCAAGAAATCGACCTAGTTTGTCCAATACTTAATTTAGGTAGTATCTATCTCGAATTATGTAAATTACACCTTGTGTTTAATTAGTTTGATCGTCTCGTTAAAAGTCTTGTACACTAACTAATTTAATGTTGTAATAACAATATTTCTTATGACGCATTACAAAAAAAAAAAAAAAATACAAATTTAATATATTAAACTTAAAATCAAGCCGTTTATAACAAAATTTCACGTGATTGACTATGTTTTGGAGCATGTTTATAATTAAAGGGTTTTTTTTTTTTTTTTTTTTTTTTAAACCAAGATTATTTTATTTGATTTGTAATGATATCTCTTAAAAATTCAAATAGGAAATGACAGAAGTAGTTTGATTAGTGGAAATTATTTAATTATATTAAATGACACTTATATGATCATAAGGGGAAAAAAAAGGTTTTATAACACTATAATTTTAGTATGAAAACAAATTAAAAGCGAATTGTCTTGATAGTATTATTTGAAATTGACCATAAAAAACCCAATCATATCTAAAAACCAAATGATCAAATTTTGATTGTTTTCATTCAAAACTACTCAAGCTCGTTTATACTGATAAAAAAAATGACTCAACAATTTTAGAAAACGATTTGCGTGAGACCGAACTCACCGTGAGTTCAATATATTTGACATTAATAATCTAATACTTGACATTAATAATCTAATATTTGACATGAGAAATATAATATCTGACACTGATAATCTAATAAATGTCAGATATATTGGACTCACCGTGAGTCCGACTCACCAATTTTTTTTTTCATAATTTTATAATATTATTTTTTACTACATATATCTTAAGTCATGAAAACATCAAAAGGTAGACCAATATACTGTACTTGTTAAAAATTGATAGGTACAAAAAAGTCTACAACTACATTATTACTTTTACTGAAATATCACGATTTGCATAAATCACTGTTCAAAAATCAATATACTACCTCCGTTAATTGTTATCTGCAACTTTGGAATATTTTATCTCTCACAAATAATACTCCAAAGTTGCAGATAACAATTAACGGAGGTAGTAAACTAATTTAATCCAATACGAACTCAAAACTCAAATTGGCTTGAAATTAAATTAGATTACACATCTAGCTTAGTAATTTTTTTGAGTAATTATGTGTTAAAGTTACCCAGATTTTGCAAAACCATCATGTTGATTTGACCTTATCCTCTCTCTTTTATTTTCTTCTTTGGCACCCTCACTTTTATAAATTTATAATAGGTATTTACGTTTTGTATTATTTTAACACTTTTATGATGCTAAAGTAACTAACAATTTAGATTTCTTCTTAAGAAAATCAACAATTTAAATTCAATCCTTATATGTAGTCTAGCACCTATATAATAATTGGTGTTGCTAACCACTCATTTTTTTTATTAATCAATGGGAATTGAAATTAGCCTTCCAACCCAACACCGTGTCCTAATAAAATTGCTAATTGAAAAATAAATTAAAAAAAATGAACGTGAACATACAATTATGTTCCGTACAATAGAATTTAGTTTAGGGATTTGGGACATGTTTAATGGTTATGGCCTTATGGGCCCTTATGGCAATAATATAATAAAAATTATGATACATATCTATTCAAATTTACTGGAAAATTTAACAAGGATAAATCAACTTTTGTCCGTTTTATCGAATAATCCTACCTTTTGTTTAAATAATTATATCTCTAGATAATTTATACTTCCTTCCGTTCCAATATTATTACAACAATAAAACTTTTGCACTATTCTTCCTTCTTGTTTACTATATAATATGATTCATACGTTAAGCAAAATATAGTCATGTGGAATCTTGTCAGATTCGTCTCATAATATTCTTTCACAATATCAACTTTTTATAATTTTTACTCTTATACAATTATAGATATTTAACATATAAAATGTGTTTTGGAATACATAATTTCTTTATTGTTGCAATATTATTGAAACGGAGGAAGTATTATTTGTAATTTCATTGCACAAGGATAAAATAGCTTCTTTATATGGATGCATGACTAATAACAACTTATGAAGTACAAAGTATTACTCCGTAATTACCTTTATGGAATTAGCCATTAAACCAAAAAGCACAAAAAGCACACACAAGTACGACACAACACATAAGCCGTCTATTCCAAAATAATGGATGTAGTTGACTTTTTACGGTCAAAGTTTAACTAATATATACTTGTAAAAAGAAAAAAACAAAATAAAGTGAGGCTCGTTAAATTTGTTTCAATATATATAATATTTATTAATTTTTTTTTCCTAGTGACATACAACAATTTGTTATTCAATTTTGCTAATGTGTAATCTTGACAATCAATATCATTTAATATAATATTAGTAAGAAAAATATGAGAAATTGATACTCAGATTATAAGACTAGCAACATTTTTACAATTAATAAACTTTTTTTTCTTCTTAATATATTAATTAGAATTTGAAGTCAAATTGTTACATGTATATGTTCGATCATAAATAAAGGAAGTGCATACTTATCAAGATATTAAGATTTGAAGTTGTACATTAAATTTGTGCAAAGTCAACTATAGCAACTATTTTAACACAACGGAA